GAGAAAAACATGCTATTCATTCCACATATTCTGAGTATCTATCATATATATAATATCTATTAGATTCTGTGGAAAATGCAAAATAAACACAAAAATGTTCCAATTTTTAAGGATTCTTGAATCCTTAAATACCCATGAAATGATCCAAATGCCCATGAAATGACCAAGTGACAATCATAATAGTACAGGATCGTGTGTCAGGATGTATATTAGAACTTTGTACTAGGCAGAAGTACAAAAATGGGGACTTTGGACTCCTGCCTAGATGAGGTGGGATGGCGCTGGCAAAACATCAACTGGATCTCAAAAACAAAAACCCAGTAAGTAGAATTTGACTTGCAGAGAGGAGGAATAACACTGCACACTTGAGAAATAGACTGTAGGAAGTGTGACTTCAGGAAGGTAAAGGACTGTGTTAATCAAGGAGACAGGTCCAGTGCATCTTGGTTGTGGTGGAGACTTAAGAGGGAAATTAGATGAAGTGCTAACTTGATTAGGAAATAAATGACAAGATTAAATTAAAGAAAGTATATCTTGCCTAAAGGTGTTTGATCTCTATCATTTTATTTCAGAAGTTTTAATTCAAGGAAGTGTGGTAAGGAGATTAAAACAAGGGATTAGAGATTTCTGGGAATCCGCCTAAGTGAAGGATAGGAGAGAGCAGAAGCAAGAAGGCTATTTAGGAAGCTACTCTAATGCCCTAGGCATAACAGCAGATACGGTAACTGTGAACATAGAACAGGCAGACTAAAAGACAATTTTCTTTCTTAAAGGTAGGAATACCAGGTCTTGGTGCTTACAATAGAATGAAGAATAAATAAACAAAGAGAAGTTTGTGATTCAAGATGTCTGGATGACAACAGAATTTTTGACCTGCAAGGGAGTCTGAATTTCCAAACTTAAAGAACTGAACAAACAGTGGTTGCTTAAAGCCTCAGAACCAGGTCTCATCAGGACCCGCATCTAAATGCTCTATGAGATTTACCAAGCAGTAAAGCCTAACAATTCATTACAAATAAATTACTTTGAAAATGACACTATGATTGAGAGTAACCAGATGAGATTATGTTGGCATATAACCACCACAGGGCTAAGTGAAAAATTGTCCTCTATCTGGAGTAATTCACTCCTGCAGTAATTCATTCCTATGAAGTCAGTTGCTCTGACTTCTGTTGTAAACAGAAATTCCATTAGCAACTTCTTACAGGTTGTAAGTTCTTCCTGATGACTTCAAACATAGATGACTTAGTCCTGTCCTACCTGCTTTTTGCACTTAATGGTCACATTATCATTTGTCTTCGTTTATTAAGAATGTGTCTTCTTGGCACTGCAGACCTCTCCTGACCCACCCGCTGCTTCCCTCAACAGTGTACTTCCTTGATCTGCCTGTTCTTCTCCCAACTCTGTCTCTGATGAATCCTCTCATCACCCCTGCACCTCTGGCCTATACCCCAGTTCTGTATGCAGAAAAAAAAGTATCTTCTTTAGGTAAGGATATACGCCTAATTACTTAGTCTAAATTACTGAGTTGTTATTAAAAACCTGTGACCTGCTAATGAATAGCCCATTGAAATTGCACCAAGTACAAACTTTTGGATTAAAAAAGCTAAAAGTTTAAATACTAGTGGGAAACATTCTCCTTAGATACACTTCCGAATCTAAAAGAATAAGAAATGATTTAAGCATCAGGAATGATTCTTCGTAGCTACAGAGAGGCCACGGATAGTTCCATTTGCCTTCAGCTTTCATCTGAAGCTTGCAGATGGTGACACAGTGAAAATGCAACTTTACTCTAGCTATCACTGATTTCCTGTTAAATATGATGAATGCAGTCTACTAAGGAGACCTCTATTTGTTGGTAAAGAACATACTAAATATACAATTGACTTCCTATTCCATTTTTTTTTTCAAGCAACAAATTTACCTCCTGATAGGACAGTCTCACTTGCCTGAACTCATTTCTACTAATACTTTCATACAATAAAACATAAGCCTTACTTTTCTCAACTCTGGATCTTTTATGTAACACTGAATAGAATACATCTTAGGCTTTCCACTTTAATGTTAGATTTTGGAAGTGGAGCATGGAGAAACAATCTTTTGCAAAATAACTTAGGAACAATGTAACACCTATAACAATAAGGATTTGGCCCTGGTGAGAGTGGGCTAGTTTTAATTTTCTTTAATTTTGTCCTCAGACAACTTTGTGGTCTAGCCACTAGACCCATTGTTTTCCATCCTCTGGATTTAAAAAAAAAAATCCTCATGGATTTTTTTTAAGACACTAAAATTAAAATAACATCATAGTTTGATGAATTAGTGCTAAGCAAATCAAGCATTGGCTCACTCTTCTACCACCCATGTTGAGGCTGAAGAGGAACAATATAGTTATATATATATATATATATATATATATATATATATTGGGGTAGAGTCAGAAAGGTGTGCGAAATGGGCACAAAGTTATAATCTGCGTGATTCTGTTTTTCTGGAAATGACTTCCAGACCAAGGAGATAGGGAGCAGGGAGGCCCACTGGGAAAAAAAAAATATTAGAAGTAAAGCAAGTAATCTCTCTCCCACAATTTCTCCCTCTTATGATTGTGAACTTGGATTAATCATAAATCAACAGGGTAAAAATAAATTTAAAAATATCAAAATATCTAAATCATTTTATTGGAGAGGCATGGTGAAGACCCTCTGAAATGGAGAAAAAATTATTGAGAAATAGACTTAAAAATTAGTAAAATTATTTAAATTTTCTTGAAACTTGTTTTTCAGTGAAGCATATTACCAATTTTTTTGAAAAAAAATTTTTTTTGAAATCATTGAAAGCATTAGAAGTTGCGAAAATAGTGTATGTTATTATGTACCATTTACCTAATAGTATTCTACCTTACACAATCATAGATGGCCGAAACCAGGAAATGGAGCATATCATCCACTAGTTGTTGTTGTTGTTGTTTTTTACAGATTTCAAAGTTTACTATAGTATTTTAAATGATGTTTGAATACTGGGGAGGTAAGTTCCCTTGAAAGCAGCTTGTTCAAAAAGTTATAGGAGATGACGAGATGACATGCAGGAGGTTGAGTGCTTTAGCCAGCCCAGAATTGCACTATTTTAGAGTAATGTTTCTTAACCCTAGTCGAACAGTCCAGTCAGGGAATGATCGGCAAAATCCAACTAGGGCTGGAGTCACTTCATATCACTGACATAACCTTATTTATTTTTGCATACAAGAACTAGGGTGCAGGCCAAAATTGCCAAGGGTGAGAGGATTCATCACAAACAGGATGGGGAGCAGATGAGGCTGATCTACTGAAATACATTGTTGAGGGAAGCTGTGAGCGAGACAGGAGACTTGGCTTAATTCCCTTGACCATGCATGGGATCTGGGGTAAAACTGGGTTGCTGCAGTGAGTGAGAGGCCCTACCTGTAGCTTGATAGCCCTGAGACATCAACCTCTGCTCCAAGAGGGAGGCCCAGCTGAATGCTTTTTAATGAAGTTTTTAAATATGTTTTGCATTTGTGACATCACTGATAAATGAAATATAGTCACATTCCCTTTGCTCTACAGACCCACTTTTCAACTGACTTTTTATTCTTTAACAAACTAAGCCTTAAATATAAGCTATGAAACAGAAAACCTGGACAAAACAAACCTCTTCTATTCAAACATGGGATAAAGAGATGGAGTAAACACTATCTACTCCTTTTCCTCCAATTTCAAAAGTCCAGCAGTTTTACCAGCTTCTGGGTTCTTAGTTCTCCGAGAAACAAATAATGGGGATTCACATTTTGCTGGTGTCAAGTAAGAATTTAGCAAAACTTATGTTGCTCCTGGTAGAAGAGTCAGCATCGGGAACATGTCTGTGTGCTGCTCCCTGAAAAACAGGTGAAGGCTACGTAAGTAGTTTTAACCCAGCTTAGAGGGCCTCAATTTCTTGTTTACTCATGTCTCCATCTCTCCAACTCATGATCCCCTCTGCCTTGAGCTCATCATGAAGGATTCATGAAGAGTTGTTATCAGTAGCCTAGGGGGGTTGTTAGTCATGGTAAAGACTTCACCTGAAGTCTTTTATATTGGGAAAAATGTTCCATCTTAGAGTCAGGGACAGACACTCTCTCTCAGTGTGGGAATGCGACTTGCCTCCCATTGTCAGGGAGAAAACGTTGAGTTCTATTTTATGGACTTCTTTGGCCTCAGGCAGAGCTGTGGTTCAGGATCATGGAATTCCCACAGGACCCTACCTCCTACCTAAGTTTACAGGATCGTTTTTACCTCAAAGTTGAAGTAAAGTGCTAAGAGGAAAAATGTACGAGATTTTCCTCATTCTGCCTAGCTGGGAAACCTTGTCACCAGACTCCCGGGCGTAGGCCAATCATCTCTAGGCTTCATGCCCTAAACCTGATTTTGGAGTAGGGGTTTTCCAGATCACTGAGAGCTGTGTCGACATCATTAGCTCACGCGTCCATTTCGCCGCCACCAGAACCACCGCTGCAGCTCACAGTCCCACTTTCTCCAAGTCAGGAAGTTGCACGCTGCCCTCCTCTATACCGGCCCTTGGAGTGACTTGGGCCCCAACCCCTGCTGCGCATGCGCACATTCAGGGCGGCGGGGAATGCTTCTCTGACCTCGCGGCGGGTCAATTTTGCCAGCTCTAAAGAATGACAGGGGTCTTGTGTCGTGCCTATCCCCGTGGTTGACAGTACTACCACCGAGGCCGCCTGCTGCCTGTCCTAGCTAAGAAGGGCCACTGCAGGGGGCCTCCGGGCTCGGGGGTCCCAGTTGCCGCACCCTCCCAAGGCCGGGATACAGAGCTGGAACCCTCAATGTAACCTAGCGCTCTCCCAGCCCAAGGGCCGGGGGGCGCGGGGCGGGGCTTAAGGGACTAGTTGGTGCCGGCGTCGGCGTGCTGACGTCGGGCGGAAGCGCACGCGGTGCAGCGGCCCGGAAATAGGTTGCGCGCAGCACCGCGGGTCAGTCCGGCGGGTTGGCTGCGTCGGGCGTGCGTACAGCTCGCGGAGACCATGGCGTCCGGGCCTCACCCGACCGTCGCCGCCTCGTCGGCCGCCCCGAGTGCGGGCGGCTCCAGCTCCGGCACGACGACCACGACGACGACCACAACTGGGGGAATCCTGATCGGTGATCGCCTGTACTCGGAGGTGTCGCTTACCATCGACCACTCGCTGATCCCGGAGGAGAGGCTGTCGCCTACCCCTTCCATGCAGGACGGGCTCGACCTGCCCAGCGAGACAGATCTGAGGATCCTAGGCTGCGAGCTCATCCAGGCCGCGGGTATCCTCCTCCGGCTGCCGCAGGTCGGTGCGCGGGTCGGGTCGGGCCTAGGTATTCTCGGGGTGGGGGTGGGGGTGGGGAGCTAGGCGAGAGGACCATAGGGGGAGAATTCGGTGGGGGAGTCTAGTGGGGGCAGAGGTTAACTGGGGCGAGAGGAAGCGGTTCTGGTGCGGGAGGGGGCGGACTGGAGGGCTCTTGAGGGGGAAGGGAGAAGGGGGAGGGCAACGTGCACAAGATGGCGCCGGCGGGCCCGCCTGACCTGCCTCCGTCCTCTCTCGTCTGCAGGTGGCGATGGCGACGGGACAGGTGCTGTTTCACCGATTCTTCTATTCCAAGTCTTTCGTCAAACACAGTTTCGAGGTGAGCAATGCGGGGGCGGTGGACGGAATTTCTTTATCCGGAAGTAGGAACAGGAAAGGGGGGGGGGCGGTAACCAGCTTTGGGAAAAAGGGAGTGGTGAGACCAGGCCTTTGTACCTTGTTCCCTTCCACGGGGAAGTGGGGGATTTTCAGAATGTGCTTGGAAAACTAAGATAATGGCTCCCGAGACCGGGTGACCTATTTTCAAGAGTTAGAATAGTCGAGAAAATGCAAAACTCCTGAGTTTACTTTGTATCTGAAGTTAAGAGGACTCCTGAATAAAAGCACATACCAGCTTAGCTGAAGAAACTGTGACCTAGAAGTCTCACATGTGGGTTAGTAGTCCCCGTGTCTTAAAGTTTCCTGGTCAGAGTTAGTACCTTAGACTGTAACGGGTACTTTTGCCTAACCATAGTCTGAATTCACTGGATCTTGTGTGCTTTCAGATTGTTGCCATGGCTTGTATTAATCTTGCATCAAAAATTGAAGAAGCACCCAGAAGAATAAGAGATGTGATTAATGTATTTCACCACCTACGCCAGTTAAGAGGAAAAAGGTAAGATTGGCATTATTGAACACAGCTGCTTTTGCTACTGTTGTACTGTGCACCAATCATCAATTCAAACATTCTTTCCTCTCAAGTTAAAGTGGACGCAAAGGAGAACTGACTTTGATTTAGGTGTTAAAATTCACATAGGTGCATGCTGATACTCTGAAAAACCATAATTAACCAGCTATCTAAAGTTTGTAGAGGCAGTTGCATTTGTGGACAATCGTAACAGTGCTGTGAAGCCAGTCCGGTGGTTTAAGATTAAACAAGAAAGGGAATACGTTTGGCTCAAGTGTGAGTGTATTCTGTAAGTTTTCCCTCCCCACCCCACCTCTGGAAGACTGAAGGTTTGAAGTTTTTTTTAAACGTAGTAGTTCAAGTTCACATTGTGGCAACGTTTTGTTTAGATTGTTTTTGTACTCCAAGCCCCAGTTAATTCTTTATCAATTGAGGTTGGCTTTTGTTAGAATACTTCTCAACATTGAACTACGATATATCGCATAATACCGGACTGAAAGGACTGCAGGATGATAAAAGTTTGAAGTTTGAAGTCAAAGGGATTAAACAGGTATTTTGTTTTGGTCAGATACAGTCTCAGTGAGTGGGTTAGAAAAGTAATTGGATTGCATTTGGATAAGACCCACATTTGATCTTGTAAGAAAAGAGACTGAAATAGTGTCTTAAAGGTGTTGTGGCTACATGATAACGCTTATGTGGGACCTGTATTAGATAAGGCAGTAGCAAAAAGTTCTAGTTAACGTCGTAGGTGACTTTGTACCGCAGAGAATAATACTCGGTGTAGATTAGCTTCTGTGCTTACCTTATTAATAAACTGTGGTGATGTTAAACTTGTACTGAGTTTGGAAGGTTATTAAAGGATTTTAAGTTGTGTTGGGGTTGGGTGTTGGTTAGTCCCAAATTAGTATTCTACAAGAGTGGTCTTTATTGGCTGAATCTTTGAGGTGGCAGTAATAGTTCTGAATACAACTGTTCTGAGACCAGAAAATAGTAAAAGTAACCTTATAAAACAACTAGTAAAATGTCTGAAGCATTGCTTCCCAGATAGTTTTCACAAGTTTTCTTTTTTTCCGTTTTCTTACATTCTTTTTTTCCTCCATCTTTTCGCATTCACCCTAACTATCCAGAGATAGATTAGTCTTTCATTTGAAAGTATCTTTTAGCTTCTTGGTAAGGTATCCTTGGAAAGAGGAAGATTTCAAATTGGTATTTAGTGTGGCCTAAGCTAAAATTTGTATTTACATATCAAGCTAATTCTTCAGAGTATTTAAAACAAAATGACAATAATAAAATGGCTCTTTATCTTTAGTCAAGGATGCTGTTTGTTTAAAGGAAATAGTTTTCTGGTAGTGTATTTGTACCATTGAGCCAACTATTATGTAATCATTTCTAATGATTATCTACTTTGAAAGTTTTCTATAAGATGTAGCATATTCTTCCCTGATGTCAGAGTAGGTTTTTAACTATAAAACTTTGGAATTTAACATACCTCACCTGACTGTTGTGTCTGATTAACAGTGTGTTTTTTGGTCATTATTACGGAGAAATTGATTTTTTCCTCAATCATAGAAGTCTGATTATAGCATGAAATTTAAAAGGAGTTGTTAATTGCATGGAAGCCTTTTAAAAAGAAAAAGCAGGATATAAAAGTGTTTCTATGCATATTACAAGTTTACTCAGACACGTAACTTGTATATGTTATTAACTTCAACTCTTTTTTCCCTTGCAACCGACTATACAGCGACCAGCTACATTTACCAAAGCCTGGGTGATGTGGAGTGGTACATAGAGATGAAGCTGTCGTCATGGCAACAGTGAGTGAAGTATCGAAAATCCCCAAGGAGAAGCCAGTGCTCTGAGAATAGGTCACTGGAATCGGGGACTAACAGGTTGGCCACTGGTGAACCATTTAGAAAAAAACTCCTGTTTCTTGTTACAAGCTTTTGTCTTTGCTGTCCAAGTTATAAGAATTACAGTTTTAGGGACTTTTTGCATAAATTATTTTTGTTAGAAAGTATTATCAATGGTCTTTAGTTAGGTAAAGTATATCAGTTTGTCTTAATGGTACTGTTAATCGCATTTATGCCTAGCTTTAAAGTGTAGGATTATCTTCATCATTACAAAGGAGTCTGTTTAGTTTAGTCTTTGTTTGGGTCATTCTCAGACTGCATATTTGCTTCACCAGAGGAGATTTTTGAAAATACCAATGCCCAATCCCCATTCTAGATTGACATTTTTCCCCTTTAACTTTTTATAGTTTGAATATTAGCTTTTAAGCCCGGAGTAAATGACTGCATTTAAAGGGAAGATTACTTTGTTTCTGTAATTTCCAGTCAAAATCTCCTTTCTATATACAGTATATTCCTGCAAATTTTAAAGATTTTTGTTAGGACTTTGTTTCAACAAAGTCCATTTTCACAATGTAAACCTTGTCTTAAAAAGTCTTTAAAGACTTGGCAATCACTCATTGGTTGACATCATGTCTTTTTAATGTTACATAGATCATAGATAAGATTTGGAAGGAGGGTCTTTAACTTAAAGTAGCCTTCAGTTTGTTTAAACACTGAAGAAAAAGTGTTCTTTTTGAAGTGTGCATTACAAGTTTCTGTATATTTGAACCAGCAATCTGCCTCTTTGTAAACTGGTTATTTTCTTTAATATATGGCCTCATGAACCAGTTCCAAATCCCTGTACCATTGAGTGAGACTAACCTAATCCTCTTTGGGTCTTCTAATCTTTAATTTCCCCTTTTAAATTGTATTTCAACTAAACAAATGCTAAAGGAAGGATAATCCAAGAGACCAGATGATAAAGGTTCTGTGATTGGATCCAGTAAAAACTCAAGATTTCCTTCTATGACCAAAATTTCAAAAATGTCCTTTTTTAGCAGAAATCTGACAAATTTAGGGGCATGGAAGATAGTGTTGATAATGAAAAAAATTATCTAGTGTTTTTTTGTTGTTTCTTTTTTTAAGGAGATTTTTAAATGTCTCCTTTTCAAACTTAATGGAAATCCTAGCAAGCCTCCTTTCCATTCCATGGCACCTTTTGCCATGGAAAGTACTAATGGATACTTTGTTATATAAAAAGTAAAGTACTTGCAATTTGGGTATACTTTTTCCTACTAGTATAAATTAGTCTGATAGTTGTTAGTTACATAGTTCATGTTTGATTTGTTAGGGAAAATTTTTGAATGAAAGGGAGATAAATCAGGTATAACATGCTTAAAGTTTAAAAATTTCAGTTAGCAGAATTAAGAGAGGTTGAGTATATAGTTGAATTAAAGTAAATAAAGGATTTGTTTTCCATAGTTTTGATGTTTGTGGAATTTGGACACAAAACAGGAAAAGTAAAAATTGTGGCAGAATAGATGGAAAATAATATATTTCAGAAGGATTAATGAAGGCATAATCCTGATTTGGACCAGGTAGTTGCTATAACTCAAATTTAAATGGCTATTTGCAAAAACAGTAAATTTTAACAGGCTTTTATAAGCAATTCTTATTAAAAGGATATTGGTGTATTTGCCCAGCATAAATGAGGAAATGAAACAAAACTGCCTTTGTACTGCTTTTAATAATGGTAATTCTGGAGGGTGTAGTTTGTTTAGCTTTTGTGGATACAGAGTAGTGCAGCTACACCAGTCTCCTGATGCTGCTTGAAGGAGGCCATCAGTTAATCTGCCTTAATCCTCAGAAGGTCTGAGGTGGGCAAAACTTCTGAATCACCTCTTAGCATGCTAAAACTTGGAAAGTAATCTTTGGAATATGTTTTCAAGTCTATACCTTTATTTTGCTCTTTTTATTTTTTCTTTAAACACCAAAGAGCAGTTGTCTATTCCAGTGAAATGAATTCATGGCTAAAATTTTATGTTAGAATCAGTTACCTCCCCATTTGGTGGCTTCATTCCTCACACCTTTTATAGGTGTAGTAGGAATTAAACTGAGTGAACTGAGTGAAGGCCATTTTTAACATTGCTGTTTTCCATCTTGTCAGCCTTTCCAGCTTTTGTCTTTTTGACTGTAGCACGATTTGAAAAAAAAAATTAAGCACTTTGCTGTTTGTAGTAGGAGAAAGTAAGGAAAATATGTAACTTTTATTCTGATGACATGTGCCTGTGAAGGTAATTGAAGCTCATTTCAGATTGTGTTCTAATCTTAAATGGATGTAGTTAGAATAACTTTTTATTCTAAAAGGTGTTTTCTGGTTTTGGGAGTATGATAAATGAGTTGCGAGTTTGAGGTAAATATTTATAATGATTATAGATGAATTTTGTCTAGAGCAAAAGCTCTTTAAACTTTAGGTAGAAAATAAATTAAGTATAGAGGAAATATTTAAATGTTCTGCCTATGTATATACATACTTTGATGTATATGCATACTTTGATATATATGCATACTTTATGATCACTGTCCCAATGAAGTTTTTGTTGGTTCACTCTAAAAATACATTTAAACAAAGGCCTTGAATACATCCCATGCATTTTTAAATGAAAAATCAAGTTCTGACAGATAAATCAGTAAGCCAGTTTTGAAATTGACTTAAATGAAAGTCTTTTTAGTTGATTATGTTAGTTCAAAACAATGAACTGCTGTATATATATGTATATATATAGCCTTCTGCATTATAACTTGAAAATTTATATTATCTGGCACGGGGCCTTGAGTGTTCTTTCACTCTGCTCTTCCTTCCTCTCTTGCATTACATACTAGAGTATTGCCTAATAGCTACATTTGACAAAATTTTATTGACTACTGAGTTTTGAATATGATTTTTTAATTTTAATCCTTTGGTAATGGAGATGAGCCCTTTCAAGTAGATTCTTAGAAATCTTCATTTAAACAAACTCTTCTCAGGTCAATCTGGATTAACTACTTACTACTTTTATTCTTTAATTTTGACCATAAACTAGCCAAGAGTTTTTTGATAGAATAAGAGAAATCATTAATTTATGAGTTTTCAGAGTAAATATTTTCAAGGGCACATTAGTTTTATCATTAGAAAATGTGATTAAGTTGATCAGTTTATGTGCCCAGTGTCTGTATAATAGCGTCAACAAGAGTAAGTCCCAAGATTATTATAGGGTCGAGGTTGAGTTAGTTTATATAGGAATTTAGTCTAGAAAGAATATATTTAATTAGCATAACTTGGACAGCATAAGATTAATGCTTTAACTTGTTTGCAGGAGTTTAAAAAGCTGGTTTCTGTTGCCAATAGTTGGTTGGAAGGGAAAATGGAGATGCCACAAATAAAATTTTTTGGATTTGCAAAACAGTTTTGATTTTATTTCTTACAAACTATAGGACTCCAAGCCCCCTGATCCTTGATCAGAACTACATTAACACCAAAAATCAAGTTATCAAGGCAGAGAGAAGGGTGCTAAAGGAGTTGGGATTTTGTGTTCATGTCAAGCATCCTCATAAGGTGAGTTTTAGAGTACAAAAATAACAGTCGTAAGTATTAGGTTTTTTTCTTGAAATTTTATTTTACATGAATTTTTACTGTTTGGGTTTGAGAATTAACCTTGATTTTTGAAAGCATACTTTTGGATTGGAGTAAAATCGGAGTCAGAAAGACTTAAGCTCAAGTCTCTGTATTATCTGGGCATACAAGTTAATTTGCTTCTACTGAACTCAGTTTCCCTACCTAGAAAACAGATTGTGAAATACTTCATTTCAGTGAATACATAATATGTTTCTACCTGAATCCCTGACAGCTGCTTTGTTGAATAATGAAATGCTCAAAACATAATGGCAGGTTACTGTTAATGAGTGTTCATAGGTTTCTCTGCATCTCTTGGTTTGCCTATGACCAACATAAGTAATAATAGCAAAAGATGGGTGCTTTAAATCTGAACTATCTGGGATGGAAACTTGTGCCTGCCTTTAGCTGTGTTGCGTTGGCAGATACTTACACAGATCACATGTCTCTATTTTTTTTAATGGTGGTGATACCAGTCCAGAAAGATTTTGACTGGATTGAAATCAAAAGCCTGTCATGTAATTTTATTAGCTATATTTTAGTGTGATAAGTTTTACTATGGAAATACTAATATTTGATAACTTAATGTAGTACTGTTACTTATTATTACCATACCTACTATTAAAAATAGTAGCTCAGGTACATCTTAATTGTACCTTGGAGTACTAAATGAAATCATTTAGCATGGTGTCCATCAAACATCACAAGCATTCAGAGGAAAATTAGGCATTTTTAATTGAATTGATTACCTCCTATTCCTGTGTAATTCTAGAATATATTACAGATCATGATTTTTGTGAGCTCTTGTAGCACCCCATATTAATACTTACATTCATTTTAGGTTGGTCTGTATTATCTAAACAGTCACAGGAGAATTAAAACTTGCACCTAACATTGTAGTCTTTGAACTCTGTACTCTTGAAGAACCACCAATATGCTAAATTGGGCTTTTTCCCTTGTCCTTCAGATCATTGTTATGTATTTACAAGTCTTAGAATGTGAACGTAATCAAACCCTGGTTCAAACTGCCTGGTAAGTTGCTTTTTAACATATCTTTCCTAGCCAGGAAAACAGAAGCAGAAATAAAGTAAGTTTCATTTTCTCTTTCCAAAATAAGGAGATGGGTTTGTTTTGGTGCTTTTTGTTTTTGTTTTTTTGTTTTTATTTTTTAACCAAAAGGTGAAGAATGCTTATTTCTGCTTCCTGTTTTCTTGGCTTGACTTATTACTTTTAATGGAGAACTCAATTTAACTTTGTTCTTTTTTCTACTCTTTAATTAAAGGGTAGTCCATGATGGTAAGTCATAGAACCCTCTGCACTTCAGCCCATGACCTCAGGATGGCCTGATTGGCTGCCCTGCTCTCCAGCCAATCCAGTGCAAGCTCTCATCCGAGATTCACTGAAGTGGTCCATATCCATCTGGCAGCATCTTCTAGTTCTGTCGGGGTGTCAAAAGGATTTGTATATTTGCTTCTAGAAGTAACTCTTCAACATGCCTATGTATTTAATGTATACTTGTGACTATCAAAATGAATAGTTCAGTTTTGATAGATTTGTTCAGTCATTATGAATTATGATTGATTTCTATTTTTAGTATGTATAGCATGAATTCTGCCAAAGGAAACTAACTGGAAGCCTAAAATGGGCATGAGTCCCGTGTTGGTGAACTTTATAGCTGCTAGGCTATTGTAGGCAATACTGTTAGAAAAGGAGTGCTTCATTTTTAAGAGATGCTAATATGATGTGAGCACTTTAGAGCTTGGACTTCAGAGATGCAGATGTGTGATGTGGAGTGCTAGCTTACTGAAGATAAAACAAGGAGTTTGTGGTCCAGCCATAAATACTGTCTCAGGACTGTCTATAATGTACAGCACTTTAATGTTTCTGTTCTGGACTTAATGACTGCCATGCTTTTAGATTCAGTAAATGTTAGTAGTATTAGAAAAGTTTTTGCTTTTATAAAATGCATGACATTTTCAACATGTTTAGCAATTTTCATGGGTAAGGATTTTTTAAGAAATACTCTTTAACGTAACTTTTTAAAGAATCTGTGCAATTTTTAAAAATACTTTAGGAATATTGTGGGGGTGGGTTCACTGATAAGGTCCAGCAATTGATTAACTGAAATAGTTTTATCTCTCTTATTTATACTTAATCACACAAAAAGGTATGTTATATATTTATTGCTCTTCACTTCCCTACTTAGATTTTTTTGAAGTAGCTTAGTTTTCTTAATACAAGTATAACTCATTGAGTGATTACTGAAAATGCCTTTTTACCCCTGTCACAGTACTTTGAGTTTTTGAAAGAACTTGGTTGACACTGCTTTTTTCATTGTGGATAAAGGAGAGATGGTCAATAATCAATGGCTTGAAGTATCGTTGGAGTGGTTTATCAGTTTTGAAACGAGTATTGTCAGAATTGATTTTCCAAGATTGCTTTCATTACTGAAATATTAACTTTGAGTAAGTTCTATCTGGTATAATACGGAATTATTTTAAAGGACTTTGGTCATACTTAAGAAAGGTAAAGAATGGTTTTATTGTTAAAATTCTTACCTCTTACTGATACTGAATTGTTGTGCTAGAATGTGAGGATGTAACTATAAATATGAGAAGAAAAAAGAATAAAGTAGATTGAGTCTCCAATTTTATGTAAGTTTCAGGGGAACTTGATTTGTTCCGCATACAAAGCTTATGGTTGAAATATTTTTCAGGAATTACATGAATGACAGTCTTCGAACCAATGTATTTGTTCGATTTCAACCAGAGACTATAGCATGTGCTTGCATTTACCTTGCAGCTCGAGCGCTTCAGGTAGGTGTATATAATTTGTTCTGTCCTACTGGGTAAATTATAGAAGCGTTACCACTTTCCTTAATAAAAACAATGAAAATTTGATTTAGATCATTCTCTCTTACTGGTTTAGATTCCATTGCCCACGCGTCCCCATTGGTTTCTTCTTTTTGGTACAACAGAGGAGGAAATCCAAGAAATCTGTATAGAGACACTTCGGCTTTATACTAGGAAAAAGGTAATTGCTGTCATCTTGTATTTGTGCTAAGAATCTAAGCTACTTTTAAAAAACCAAAACCAAAAAAAAAATACCAACTTCATTTCCCTCCAATAGCCAAACTATGAATTGCTGGAAAAAGAAGTAGAGAAAAGAAAAGTAGCCTTACAAGAAGCCAAATTGAAAGCAAAGGGATTGAATCCTGATGGAACTCCAGCCCTTTCGACCCTTGGTGGATTTTCTCCAGCCTCTAAACCATGTAAGATTTAGTCAGAATTGAGATAAGTTGGCCACTTTGAAGGGATATGATTATTAGAAAGCGTAAGTATGTAGCAGTTGCTTGAGCAAGGATATTAAATGCTGGTATTTTCTTTGATGATTATCAACTAGAGACTCATTCTTTTGAAGCATGGTACTTTGTTACATTTTGAAATGTTTTGCTTCCTTTTAAATCCATAAATTAACATGTCTTTACTGTTTTCTGAAGCATCACCAAGAGAGGTAAAAGCTGAAGAAAAGTCACCAATCTCTGTTAATGTGAAGACAGTCAAAAAAGAACCGGAGGATAGACAGCAGTCTTCCAAAAGTCCTTACAATGGGTGCGTGTTTCTGAGTTACCCTAGCTTGAGGATTCGGTGTTTAAATTTCTAATACTATGTAACTGAAACAATGTTTTCTTTTTGAAGTGTAAGAAAAGATAGCAAGAGAAGTAGAAATAGCAGAAGTGCAAGCCGATCAAGGTCAAGAACCAGATCACGTTCTAGATCACATACTCCAAGAAGACAGTAAGTAAATATTGTTTTAGGGGAAGCAGTTTATGGCAGAGTCTTTTGGGTGTCCCTTAAAGAAAAAACAACAGGCTATTTTTAAAGTTAGGCTAGATCTGGGCTTTTTAAACAAGGTAAATTTTAGGCAATGAGTTTGGAAATAAGTTCTGTGCCACATGACAGTTTTGGTGGTGTATGTTTATGACTTCTGATTTTACTTGTGGCTTTTGGAGACGTATAGAATCTGGCTAGGACTACAGAGGAATTTACTGCCTTGTTTGTATTGTGAAACTAGTGTTTCTCTGGTTTCAGTTAGAAATTTGATTATTTCATTAAGCACTAATAACTAGTAATCCGGTTGACCGTAGCCAAAGACTCCCTAGTTAGCTCTGTAATTAGATTGCTAGTGTTTTGTGACTCTTCCATGTCCTTTTAAACACTCAGTAAAATGCATAGCTACCAGAGGTTACTCTCCACCTTGGAATGTAAACATAGAGTACTTGGTTTATGATAGGCTTGTGGGGTGGCATAGGATAATGGGGTGTGAGGGAAAAGGCAAGTTCAGACCTGCCATTGAAACAGGACACCAGTTTAGGTTTGAAGCTGCTAGGAACACCACCAGGTAATTTGTTCCCGGTAGAAACTGAATCTAAACCTCCACTTTTTATTATCTAAGTTACAATAATAGGCGGAGTCGATCTGGAACATACAGCTCGAGATCAAGAAGCAGGTCCCGCAGTCACAGTGAAAGCCCAAGAAGACATCACAATCATGGTTCTCCTCACCTTAAGGCCAAGCATACCAGAGAGGATTTAAAAAGTTCAAATAGACATGGTCATAAAAGGAAAAAATCTCGCTCTCGATCTCAGAGCAAGTCTCGGGATCACTCAGATGCTGCCAAGAAACACAGGCACGAGAGGGGACATCATAGGGACAGGCGTGAGCGGTCACGCTCCTTTGAGAGGCCCCATAAAGGCAAGCACCACGGTGGCAGCCGCTCGGGGCACAGCCGGCACAGGCGCTGACGTCTCCTGGGCCTGTGGCACTTCCTGGTTTGCCTTCTACGGTGTGATTTATGGACTCAATCAAAACATTAAACTGATTAGGATTTGATTTTATAAAACCCTCTAGGTCTCTAGAAACACTGAGGACATATTTTGAAAAGAACTATGTTAATTTTCCTTTTTTTTTTTTTTTTTTTTTTTTTTGACGGAAAAGGAATGTTGGGCAAGGGCCGGAAGTCCGAAGCTGTAATTTCCCATGCCCTGAATCTGGTTACCATCCTAATATAGGGTGTTTTTTTTTTTTTTTTTTTTTTTTTTGCACATTAAAATGCCCTAGCAGTATCTAATTGAAAACCATGGTCAGGTTCAATTGTACCTATTATAGTTGTGTATTGTTTATTGCTATAAGAACTGGAGCGTGAATTCTGTAAAAATGTATCTTATTTTTATACAGAAAAAAATTGCAGACACTGTTCTATTTAAGTGGTTATTTGTTTAAATGATGGTGAATACTTTCTTAACACTGGTTTGTCTGCATGTGTAAAGATTTTTACAAGGAAATAAAATACAGATCTTGTTTTTCTAAACTGCTTCAAATACCTTATTTAAATAAATTATTAAAAAGAACAAAAATTTAATATTAAAATGGCTGTACTGATTTTCTGACAAACCAGTTCTTCTATTACATAGTTCCAAATGGTTAAAATGCATTTCTGATCTGCTTTGAGTTTTTTTTTAAAGATTTATTTATGCTCACTGAACTGGGGTATAGGCCAGAGGTGTGGTGGGTGAGAGGATTCACCAGAGTCAGTGGGGGACAGAACAGGCAGATGTGCTGAAATACACTGCTTGAGGGGTACAGCGGGCGGGTCAAGAGAGGTCTGCCGTGCCATTTGAGTCAGCTCCCTGGCCGGGGATCGAAACTGTGCTGCAGTGACTTTGGAGAACTTCATAATGCAGTGCTTTAATCCGTTGTGCCACCAAGGAGAGCCCTGCTTTGAGTTATGAAGATATATTTGTGGAAAAAGGGAACAAGATTGCCCCAACCAGTGTTCTGTGTATTATTTTGTTGTAGTAAGTAACCCAATCAAGACAGAACCTGATTTGCATATAAGTGGTACCATAATTAAAGTCAAAATTAAGTACTGTTTCTAAAGTGAGCAGTCCTATTACACAAATGGAAATTCATACTGTTAACCATGAATCTGGCCTAACTGTTGATTGTGAAGTTTTTCTTTACATGTTTAATGATAATTTTTATTTAAGCTGGGAAACTAAAGATTCTGTGGGTATGACTGGTTTATGAAAGTAGAATACGACCACAGAAAATAGTTTTGTTGAAATAGCCAGAACTGGTATTCAAGTGGATTATTCACTTAAATAATATATTTTTTTAAAGATTTATTTATTCATACTGAACTAGGGTA